CCCCCCCGATTCCAATTTCCCCCAGTGCCCAACCCCACTCTCCTCCCGGCACCCAGCCCCTCTAACCTCCCAGAATCCCCCGGCTCTCCACACGCTCTCCCTCCCCCAACCCTCCACCTAAGCTCCCCCGACGCTCATTCCCACCTGCGCCCGTTTCTTCAGCCCGCTTCCCCTCCGTCACCGTTCGCATCCCCCCCCCCTCTCCACTTGGCGATCCTCCAACCAGCGCCCGATCCGAGATCAGTCGGCGCGCACGTGCGCGCGACCTCCCTAGCCCGCCTGCTATGCCCCTCCCCCCATCTACTTTCCCCCCGTGTGCACGTGCTCGTTGCGGGATTATTGGCTGGAGCGGCACATTTGTTCGAAGATAACGCAAGTCTCCTAAGATGAGTTCAATGAGAACAGAACTCTCGTTTGGAGCAAAAGGACAAGAGCTCATTTGATTTTGATTTCCAGTACGCATACAAACTGTGAGAGTTTGGCTTATCAACCCTTTAGCGTTTCCGGACTTGAAGCGAGAGGTATCCAAAAAGTTACGGCAGGGATAACTGGCTTGCGGCCGCCAAACGTTTATAGCGACATTCCTTTTTGATCCTTCGACGTCGCCTCATCCCATCATGGTGGAGCAAAATTCATCATGTGAGCTTCATCATCATCATCATCATCATCATCGCCGTCGCTGCCGACATTGCCAACATCAAGGCAACCACAGTTTTGGTTCTTCATCATCTGCCTACGCTTTGGCCCGGCGACCTCGTCGTTCCATCGGGGGAACAATCGAGAAGACCCTTTCGGGGTTGATTGAAGACCTTCCTCGACTAGGAGGAAGGACCTTGATTGCTCCCAATCGACCAGGAGCGCGGTATTGCCAATCTATCTCCAACTTACTAATTCCCTCCCTTCCTCCCACCGATTTCTCTCAAAGATCTCATCTTTTTCCTCTCCTTTTACCTCCTCCCTATCTCCACTTCTCTCCTCTAATCCCCTGCCTAATTGGTCACATCATCAAAAATTCCTAACGTGCATTTGCCTGACAATGCCATCCAACGTGTCGTTCGGAATTTCGATATAATTCGGTAGGATTAATTATCAATTCCATTTCTCCAAACACCGTGATCAAAATTAATTTCGGCGTTTTTGTTCAAAAGCTACACAAATTTCTTTACTTTTTTTATTAATTTCGTTATTTAATTTCAAAAATTCAATTTCATTTCAGAAATTTGTGAAATAAATTTGGGAATTTACTACAAAGAATTCTTCCAATGTTGAATTTCCTTCTATTTTCTATCTCCAGTAAAATTTCGAAATTCTTCCATTGTTTTTTAAATCCTTTTGAAATTTCTTTGAAATTCTTTTGAAATTTTTCAAAAAATTCTTTGAAATTCATCTTAATCTTGTAACAAGTCAAGAAATTTTATTCATTTGATCTAAATAATCCAGGAATTTCTCTCAACTTACTTTACGCGGCTATCACTAATTCTTTATGAACTTTCATCGTAAATTCTTAATTTAGGCATTAGTTTTCTACTTTTATTTCAAATTGTTTTCGAAATTCGTTTAACCTTGGAAATACGTCAGGAACATAGGATTTGTGAAAACCCAACAAAAAAAAATGTTGGGTTTGAACGAAATTTATTTAATATTCCGAGAGTACGATTTTTTGGCCTTCTACAAGAGCAAGATTTTTTGCAAACCAAAAAATAAAATAAAATTGAGAACCACAGGAAGTGGCGAGGAAAAAAACAAACTTTTTCACACTACATCATTACTAGGTAGAGCAATGGGAGGATCAGGGTCCTCGGTAGGCCTATGGGGCCCTGTTTGCAGCATTACCCGCCCTAAGTGAAGGTGGAGGTGCCCGCCCTAAGTGAAGGCGGCGGTGCCCGCCCTAAGTGAAGGAGGGCCTGGCTTTTTGCAAAAGGCCCTCGACTGTCAATTTCATATTTGGGGTCGAGGCAGTTGCGACGCGCCAGTTGGTTGAGACAAACGCAGGCCGAGCAACCCAGACATTTCCACGGCCCTCCGGGCTTTTCCAAATAATGCAGGCCCTGGGCGTGATTCGCAGCCTCATACAGAGACAGTTGGGCGCCCAACCGAACGAGGCCCAGCAGCCCAGTAGCTGCTGCATCCAGGCAGCCTCCTGGGGCCTTCCGAAAGCTTCTGGGCCCAGGCCAGCCCAGCCAGGCTGCGAGAGCAGCCCAGCTCTTTCCATATAGAAAAGAGTTCTAGCCAGGCCGCGGATTCAGGCACTCGCATGCTAGCGGCAACGCTGCTAGAGCAAAGGCTCGCGGCTGCTGGTTGACGTTGAGAGGCGAGGTGCAACACGTGCAGTCGTGCAGAAGAGGAGGGCCCTGCTGAGGGCAGCGCCATAGCCCAGCCACCATAGCTGGTGTGCTTGGACTACAGTGAAGCGCAGGGGTGGTCTTCGGGTGAAAGAGAGGACAGATGTGGGTGAAGTCAGGGGATAGGTGAAGGATGATGATGATGATGATGATGTGAGGGCACTTACCTTGTATTGGCGATAATCTGCATAGACGACATCTTCAAGTACTTCGGGCTGCCACTGATGTCAGCACTTGCATTGTCTTTTTCTAGTCTATAGTAGTTGTCTAGGAGTAGGCTGGGTGCTGAGCGCCAAGTGTGAGTGTGAAGGAATTTGACTCTTGTGTTGAGAGGCGAGAGTATACTCTTCATGGACATTGGTTTTCAGTGCTACGAACCTCCATTGGTGTATTATTGGTGCAATGCTGCTCTCTGGACACGGTGTAACTATTTGTCTTTCAATGTGATGGTGTGATCTAGGATTATCATCTCGCTATTGCTTATTTTCCTTGCAGAGCATCGTATATTTATAAATTGAAATATCCGTGTTTTTTATTATCTTAAAAGATCATGTGTATAGTCCTATAAGTTGTGTATCACGACGAACATGTTTGAGGGTTTGGCGAACGTGCGAACATGTTATCTTGTCTATTAATATGTTCGCCATAACAAGTTATCCTATCTGTGGACAAACTTTTTTCTTTTTTAATGTTATTTTTTTTTTTTTCGTTTTTTTTTTTTTTTTAACTTGTATTTGACTATGAATTTGAACCTTTTTCCGAGCCAAAAGTTCTTTGTGCTATTATTTTACATAACATATATTTTTTGAGAAAAAAAATACTTTTTTTTTTTTTTTTTTAATAACTTCAAAATTGCTTTATAAAGTCTATAAATGTTGAAAATGACATATAGTCCTATATGTCAGAATTCACTAAAATTGCTTTTTTACAACTTTCGAGTTTGTTTTATTGGAGCTCTACGTTTCTGAAGGTCTATTGAGAATGACTTATAGTCCTATAGCAAAATTTTTGCAAGAACGAGTTTTCCTCCACATCTCAAGGATCGCTGAACTGTTTGCCTTATTTTTTGCCTTGTCTCTCGGAAAGTGGTCGAAAATGTGTTTTTTTTTTTATCAGAAATAGAAGTTTGAATTATACTTTTGCACTCTCTACAAAGTGTTGGGTTTTGTGGTTTTGTTGGGTTTTCACGAATCCTGTGTTCAGGGAGTTTTTTTTCATTTCAATTCAAAATTTTCCTCCCAACTCATCTCTAGCTCTCCTATCATCTCCCTGAACTTTCGAAAATTTTTACGATTATTTTTGAAATCCATTGAATCTTTGCTTAAACTTTCTTAAAATTCTAAATTTACCTCCAAAAAATTTTGGAATTTTATTTTGACTTCATGATTGTCCTATGCATGCCTTCCTCTACACCCCACGCCGGTCTTTGAAAATTTCCCCTCATCCTCTTGCTTGAATTTGAAAAATTCCCCCCCCCTTCTCCCCTCAATCCGATTTTGAATTTTCTCGATTTAATTCCGGAAGTTCGTTAGATCTCATTTCTACACGCCTTCCGTTCTTGACCCCTTTTCTGCATGCAAATCTGCCTCCCCGTGACAACCACCGGCGCGTACTCCAAAACCACGCCCGAGACGCCCGTGTCGCACACCGACTCGCTCGCTTTGACGCGCCGACTGCTGCCATTGAACACCCCCGCGTACTCCAAAGTGTTGAGTTAGCGAGTCCCTCCCCCTCTATCAGCAAAGGCCTTGCATTCCTAGCTGGTGACACCATGTTTGACTCGACGGAGATTTCCACCCCTGCAGTCGCCAGTTCGGGCCCCATCACCCAGTCAGACCCTCTACTCGCCATCCTCCAGGACATGAAGGCCACATTCGAGGCCAAATTCACGGCCATCCAAACCAATTTCGATACTTTGTCGGACCGGATGTCACAGATGAAGTCGCGTGCCACCAGACACCCTTCCTCTCTTCCCCCCTCCCCCTCCTCTCCCCACACACATCCTCGTAGTGGATCACACCTCCCCTCTCACCAACTTGGTATCTCGCAGTCCTCCCCCCCTCTCGCATCATCAGCGTCTCTGCTATCCTCCTCTCCTTCTTCGGCTGGCGTCGTCTACACGCTTGTCTTTTCCACGGGTGGTATGCCTTCTCCACAGACCCACCCTTCTTCTGCAGCCATCCCTTCCTCCCAAGTGTCCACCTCCACAATTTCCTCCTCATGACCCATGGCATCGTGTCCCGCCACCTCCTCAATTTTAGTTTCCACGGCACCTACGTCACCACCCCCAACTTCTTTACCTCCCCCCCCACCCCCTATGACACCCACGATAMAAAATGYTGAGCTRCAAAACCAACTTGCCATGGCCCACGACCACATCCGCCGRCTCCAAGGAGGTCAACCCTTGCCTCCYCACCTCGCGGCACAGCCTGCTGCCCCTTTCATCTACCGACAGCATCAGACACAGGCTGCTGCGATGCACTTTACTCTTCCTCCACCGGCCACCACGATGTCTCACGGCCCTTTGCCTCAACTTCCTGCCTTGTCTAGTGCTCCTGCGGGTGCCCCTAGTTCCTCTGYCCTCTTGTCGTAGTGTGCCCTTCCCCTCCCTCCTCATTATCAGCCGCCACCCTACGTACCTCGGTACCACCCTGACAGACTCCCCCTGTTCGATGGCAAGGCCTCCGAACTCCAAGGCTGGATCACCACATCCGAGGAGCAACTTCGGTACCATGGTGTAAACATGGACTTGTGGCCTAAGAGATGTCAGCCCGCTTCACAGCTCGAGCGGCTTCCACTTGGCGCGACTTTCTCGCCCTTCGTGCTCAGCAGGGCGTCCACGCGAGTATGACGTACGCGGAGTTTCGTGATTTTTTCCAGCAGTACTTCTCTCGCCCGACGCCTATCCGTGACCCGATCTCAAGGGTCGCTGAGATCAGATGGCTTGGTGGCAACAATGCCTTAGAGTCGTACATCACGGAATTCCACCTCGTTCGCGCCCAGATTCCCCCCTCCCTCATAGCCGACGACGCTATGGTCTAGCGTTTCCATGTCGGGTTACCCCAACCCTTCCAGCTTCAGATGATGGCATACACAGTCCACACCCTCCCTGAGGCCTTCAACATTGCCAGGGCCATCCGACTCACCTATGCACCTCTTGTCGGCTCCACTTCTCTGCCTGGTGCTGCATCTCCCGCTGCCACGTATGCCCCTGACACATCTCGCCCCCGACAGTTCTCCACGTCTCGCCGCGGCCCCCGCCGAGTTCCTGGATGCACCTTCTTCCGTTGTGTCTGGACCATGCTCTGCGAGTCGTCGAGCCCTGAGGAGGGTACTAGTTCGGATGGATCCCATAGTGACCCGGACCAGGGACATGACCCCCTGTCTTCTATGGATGGTGACGATCCCGACCAGGACGAGCACCTTGCCCGCGCCTTCTCTACTTTCCTCAGGCAGCGCTAGTCTTCCTCATCGAGGACCCGCTCGTCGGCCACACAACAGCCCCCCCATCGGGCTACGTCTTCCCCCGGGCCTGATTGACTATCGCGGAGAGTGAGGACTTCCGTACACGAGGTATATGTACCCGTTGCCGCCTACCCAGTCACACTCCGTCCACCTGCCCCTACGCTGACGCCATCCAGCGTCACTTTGCTCAACAGTCCCGCCCTCAGCCTGACCCCCCCATTTCGACCTCCAGCTCCGCAGCCACCTAGCGGCGATCTCCCATCCCCCTGATCCTCCTACACTAGCAGGCATACCCTCTCGCGAGTCTACCTTCGCGCCGCTTGCTACTCTTTCTGAGGACTCGGGCTTGACCTCATCGTTGGTCGATCCTAGCGACACCGGTGCACCCTCCCCTTCTTCGTCTAGCGTCTCTTGCGATCCTTCTCCTCCTCGTCCTCCTACTAGGCGTGCTCTACGCACGGCCCGCTGCAGTGCTTCCCTTGCTGCAGTCGAGGATATCATTGACTTCCTAGACCTCGAGTTCGTTAAGGTCCTTATCAGTCTCCACAGCAAGTCTATTCCCTCAGGGGGCGCAGCGCGACCGGGGGCATTGCGCCCCCGCTGGAGCAACTTCGGAGGCGAAGCAGCGACGCGGGACCTACCGGAGAGCTAGGCGACACGGTGGGCGAAGACGCAAGGCGACGAGGTTGGCAAAGACGCAAGGCGACGCGATGGGCGACGACTCAAGGAAGCGAGGCGGACAAGGGTAAGTATGGGAGAGCTTGCGATGAGGTGGACGGTGGGATATGGTGACGCGAGGTAGGAGATGGGTTTGATGGGTAGTGACGGAAAACAACCACGGGTGGTAAGGTAGGGGGGAGGGTGGGGCAGATGGGCAAAAGGGTGAGGAGGCGTCGTACTAGGTTAGGACGTGTCGTCTTCGTCTTTTGAAAAACCCTTCCCTCTTCCTCAACAATATGGTATGGGTACAACTATGGTGGATTGAACCCCGTGTGCGACTCGTCAAGAGGTTTGGCGAAGGGGTATCACACCGTCTTCGATTTCCTTTGGGTGATCGAAGATGGTCGTTCGTGTCTTTGGTGCTAGCTTTGCTTTGAGCCTAGATGCTTGCAATGGGAGGAAGGGAGTTTCTCCCCCAAAGACGTAGGGGTAGGGTTTGAGGGGTCTGAGGTAAGTAGCTTGGTTGAGGAAGAAGGGATGAGAAGCTGCTTCTTATTGGATTAGGATTCAGCCCATGCGTGGCTTAGCTATCTTTAATTTGAACTCTACTGCAAATCTTCTGATAACTTTTCGTTGATGATTTCAATTCATGATTCATGATTTTCTTGATAAAAGGATTCCAATGATGTGACATATCAAAATTTCAATTGAGAGTTTCACGTCTGGTTGTATGTTTTTTCCCTTGATTTCTTTTGAGTTATGGTCGCTTTCCTGATTTTTTGACAGAGGTTGGTTTTTGAATAATTTCGTTTTAAGAATTGTGATTAGTTTAACATCTGATTCATGACATCTTAGGTGTTTTTTGAATGAAATTGATCCCTAATCCGAAATTCGTATTTTCTATTCTGAGCAAGATCTTAAATTGAAATTCGTATTTTCTTTGGATGAAATTGATTCTTAATCCGAAATTCGTTTTTTCTATTCTGAGCAAGATCTTTAATCTAAAATTCGTATTTTCTGAGCAAGATTCGTAATCTTAAATTCGTATTTTCTGAACAAGATTCATAATCTCAAATTCGTATATCAGAGTTCTTCTCTGATTCGAATGAATGATTACTCAATTTTGATTTACAAAGGTTTACAATCTGATTTTTTCAAAGTGGAATTGATGTCCTGTGTTTACCCATATTTGATCTAATTCAAAATCTGATGTAGGCTCTTAGAAGTTGTGGTTCAACTTTGCTAGGAGATGGTCTTGCAAACGAAAGGGGGAAGATCGAATTAGAGGCAGGCTGGAAGTAGAGGGGTTCACTAAGAGGAGGGATCGGTCGTTCAGGGCGGTAAGTTTATCATCACAAGGGTGGGGTGGGACGTCATTGGCCGATGCTGGAGCATTCACTCTGTGACCAGGGGGAGCTTGAGACCATTGAAGTTATGTTGAGGGTGGAAGGCATAACCATCTCGCCCGACGTAGTTGTTGCTAGGGCGATGACCCTGTAACCTTTTAAGGGGCTTTACCGTTAAAGGGAGTTATCGAGGGGGGAATGACATTGTTTGTCCGTCAGAAGCAATTAGGTCGGTGCTGGAGCAGTTTGTATTGCCTTAGCAGGGGGGGTATGAGGTCTGATGATTTATGGTAACGAGGATTGAAAGCGTGGGTTGCGTATCCTTCATCTATGGTGAGGGAAGAAGATGGATTGTTAGTGGTTCTTGTTTTTGTCCTTCTTCCTTTTTGTTTTCTTAAATGGGAAGGTGAAAGTCGTAAGTATGGTTTGAAGGAATTTTGGGTGGGCTTGGGCAATAGAGAAAGGGTTGCTCAGGGTTGTAAGTCTACTACAAGGGCGGGGTGGGGCAACTTTGGCCAGTCCTGGAGCGGTGGCTCTGTGACCAAGAGGAGATTGAGGTCATTGAACGACCATTTCGTCAAAATGGACATTTTTATTTTTTGAACAAAATTGAAATCGAGTTTTTTGGTGGAAAACTCGTCAAAATTTATTGTTCCTGAGGGTCTAGCGTTTTACAAATGCTGGACCTCCTGACTGTACATGGACCTAGCTTGAGACCAGGGACCTCCAGGCAGGACTGCCAGGAGGTACCTGGTCTCAAGCTAGGTCCATGTACAGCCAGGGGTTCCAACGTTTTACAAACGCCGGACCCTCAGGAACAACAAATTTTGACGAGTTTTCGGCCAAAAAACTCGGTTTCAATTTCGTTCAAAAAATAAAAGATGTCCATTTTGACGAAATGGCAGTTATTGGAGTTATGCCGAGGGTGGAAGGCATAACCACCTCTTTCAGCGTAGCTGATGTCAGAGCAGTGACTCTGTAACCCGCTAGGGGGTTTGCAGCTAACAAAGTAGTCGAGGGAGGAAGACACCTCCTGTCCATAAGAAAACAGTTAGTTCGGTGTTGGGGCAGTTTGTGTTGTCTTGTAACCCTAGCTAGGGGGGTGTGAGAACTGGCGATTTGTGGTACGAGGACTGAAAGCCTAAGCTGCGGTTTCTTGTCTGCAGCGAGGGTCTAAGTTCGATTGTTGGCGACTCTATTCCTGACTTTCGTCTTTCTGTTTTTCATAGTTTTTTTTTTTTTTTTTTGAATATGCTCTTGAAAAAACGTTGGCTGTTTCGTGGCCTTAAGAATGTTTTACGACTCAAGGAATTGCTAGCAACTCGTCTTAGGTGGCTTCGATGTTGTAATACTCAGTGATCTGCGGCTGTTCAATTCCAGAACGACGCTGGCCGGTGTTGGGGTGTTGCCCTGTAACCTGCTGATGCAGGAGTGTAATGCCTTGTAGAGAGATCTGGGGATGCTTTGGGGTGGGCATTCCACGGGACAACCAAGCTGCTCAGAGCTGGGGTGAGTTGTGTTGCCTTGTAACCCAGCAGGATGTGGGGGTGTGAGGCCTGGAAAAGCAGGGAGTAAGACAATGTTGGAGAACTTTGGAATGTTTTGCTAGGGATTTTGAGGGTTTTGTAGCATTTGCAGGACCTCTGCAGTCTACTTCCATACTTCCTGAATTACTGTTAGTGTTCTCAGACGATTTCTCAGCTGAAGCCAAGTAATGGCCCCGGTATCCCAAACAAGAGATCGCGGCGAGTGAGAGAAGGATATCACGCGTCCTACTAGTGAGTGGGCTAGCTGGTAGGATGGGAATAGGGAATAGCAGCAGCGGAGATGGTGGCTCTGCTACAGTAAGCCTTGCCGGAGTGGGGTACAGGGGATTGATTGGTGGTGTCTAAGTCTTTGTCTGAACCATGCATATGACTTTGTTCAAAAAAAAAAAAAGGGTGAGTGGGGTCTTTAAAAACGAGGATGGTGGGGTATCAAGCGTCCTACTAGTGAAGGGGATAGCTGGTAGGATGGGAATTGGGTACAGCAGCAACAGAGATGATGGCGCTGCTGCAGTAAGTCTTGCCGGAGTGAGGTCAAGAGGATGGAAGGGGGGTTCCTGCCAGTGAGTCGGTTTCTGAATTTTGTCTAATTCCGATGTCTGTCGTAGTAATTTCCTAAGTAACCCCAATTTTTTTTAGCCAAGCCGGGTAATGGCCCCAGTATCTCAACTTTCAAAGTCTATGTAAATTTTCATATGGGACGCTAGGCCCCGTTTCCAGCACATGTTGCTCCCCACGAATAGATTGGCGTCGTGTTCCCATTAAAAAAAAAAAAGATGGCTAAGGGACAGGGGAATGACAGTCAGACTCGAATGTAACAGATGTAACTGGCCTTTTGAGACCAGGATACATCTGTGGTGGGCATGCCCTCGATCACAGAAATGGTGGATCTGGTGGTTCCGACATTGGGCTCGATTGTCTGGTACGACTTACGCCCAAAATGAGCGGTGGGTACTGCAAGGGACCGYACCGGAAGGCATCCCTACTAGCAAGGGTTGGKGCTATATCGCGCAAGTATGCAGAGCGACGCTGATGTGGACARTATGGCTAGACATAAACGACAGGAGATTCCAGGGGCAGGGCTTGGAGGAGAAACAAGCAGAGGCAATGTCAAGATYAATGGTGAGAATGGAGATCAGGGCAGACTGGAGACGGAAAGTGTTGAAGGGCGGACGCATTTCAGRCCTGGCCTGGTTTGCARAGACCTAGGCTAGGCCAGGAGGATTAGCYGAGATCTCAGACAACAAGCTTAAACCACCAGTACCTTGCCCAGCTTGAAAAAGGCGACACAGCCGTTAACGCGCCACGTCGGGCGGGGTACCCACCGACGAAAGAACGGTATTCCCAAAA